GCTCTCAGAGCGTTAAGGGGTTTAGGGTTTAGGGTTTAGGGCTACGATATCAAGACATGGACAAAGGGCTGGGAGTGGAGGGTGTAGGGGTTTTTGTCTTGCGGCAAATGGGGGGAAGGCTTGGTTTGGAGGGGACGTAGGTGTCGATTCTGTTACATGGCCTAGTATGTTACATGGCCTAGTAGGGGCCAGAAGACAAGCACACGGTGCATCCGCCCATTTCGAAGAAATGTGGTTTAATCTGTGCATTCCAGGGACCTAATTATTCAGGCTCCATGCAGGACACAATATAATTAGGTCCCAAGAAGTATAAGGTTAATCGACCGACTTGCATGCCATGCTGTGGACTCAGCGTCCAGGCGTAATTTGTTGGCGCTCGCCTGGTCGCACAGAAAACGGTTGCGCACCAGCTGAGTCCTGTGTCTAGGTTCCGTGCTTTAATGCCTTGGGACACATCTGGCAGTCTCCATGAAGGTGAGCCAACCCGCTTGTGCTTAGGGTTTAGGGTTTAGGGTTTAGGGTTTAGGGTTTAGGGTTTGGGTGTTAGGGTTTAGGGTTAGGGTTTAGGTTTTAGGGTTTAGGGTTTAGTGTCTGCAAGGGTTTGTGAGAGAAGTTGAAACAGTCGGTTTCCAGCACCTTGCGGGCGGTGCCCCACAAAGAGGGCCTGAGCATGTCACAAACTGGATACGCCAGATTCAAGCAGGGACGTCAAGGACGTGAATTAGTGTTTTTGAGCGCACACAACAGTGCTCGGCAGAACATGTGGTACTTGGGTGGATGTTCCCTGAACCCAGACCCTGAAGCCAGTACTACCCCCCCCACCCCTAACCCAAACCCGAGATGAGCTGTCATCAACAAGAAGGACCTTTACCCTCCCAAAGACCCAAGGGGTCAGCTTTGAACGTGCCTTCATCAATACGGACCGTGTTAGAATAGAGATGAGAACCAGAACAGGGACACAGGTTAGAGAACTGACCCAAAACCCTAAACCCTAAACCCTAAACCCTAAACCCTAAACCCTAAACCCTAAACCCTAAACCCTAAACCCTAAACCCTAAACCCTAAACCCTAAACCCTAAACCCTAAACCCTAAACCCTACAGGCTCGCAGGGAGCATCCCTTCAGCTGTCCTCACCCAGAAGAGCCAACGAGGGCTTACTTGGAGGTTTTGGGGTGCTTTGAAGTTGGTGAAAACGGGGAACTATAGCGCAATCAGGTCCGAACTTATTCAGACTACGTGCTTAGAGCCCTACTTCTATGTACACCTAAACCCTAATCTCTAAACCCGAAGCACGAAACCCTAAACCCTAAACCCTAAACCCTAAACCCTAAACCCTAAACCCTAAACCCTAAACCCTAAACCCTAAACCCTAAACCCTAAACCCTAAACCCTAAACCCTAAACCCTAAACCCTAAACCCTAAGCTTAGACATAACCCCCTAAGAACCTCCCGAAAGGCCAGCAGGCTGCTCAGCATCCACCTCGGTAGTTCGAATCTAAAGCCAACCCGTAACTTCAACATGCAACGCATCCGCGCTGGAGGAGGTTTAGGGTTCAGGGTTTAGGGTTCAGGGTTTAGGGTTTAGGGTTTAGGGTTTAGGGTTTAGGGTTGGTCAGGGGGTGAAGGGAATAGGGTTTCAGGGAGGTGTTGTTGGGTTTCTTCAGGGTTGAGGATTTCAGGGTCCAGGGTTAAGGGTTTAGGGGTTCAGGGGTTGGGGGTTTGGGGTTTAAGGGTGTAAGGGTTGCAGGTCTTTAAGGGGTTTAGAGGTTGCTGTGAAGGTTTCATGGGTACTTATGTGCGATGCTTATAACCTGGACCGCCGCAGTGTACACAAATTAAGAGCAACTTTGGCCAGTGCCAGAAATTTAGGACAAATATCGCAAAAGTGCCAAGAAAGTGCATAAACTTTACTTGCGCAGGCCATAAAAACACAGCAGTGACCACTTTGTGAAAGTGCCGTGAATATGCGTGCAAGTGCCGTGAAAACGCGTGACAGTGCCGTGAATATGCGTGACATAAACTAAGTGCAACGTCATGCTTTTTGGGTGACTTTTGAAAAGAGTCAACTTTCATCCAGTTGACGCTTTTTTACGACAACCATGGCTCTCCAGGTAGGGTTTAATTTAGCTTTGTTTGTAGAGGTACCCTAAAGACGCTATCATGATAACCCTATCTACGGCTATGTCTTATCATAGCTCTAGCTGTCCTTCCCTGTGGTTCTGAGGTTTGCGTTTAGGGGCTACCCTCGAGCTGCCACCTCAACAATCTCACGTATAGGGTTTAGGGTTTAGGGTTTAGGGTTTAGGGTTTAGGGTTTAGGGTTTAGGGTTTAGGGTTTAGGGTTTAGGGTTTAAGGGTTTAGACTTTAGGGTTTAGGGTTTATAAGGGGGTTTAGGGCTTATAGTAGGGTTTAGGGTTTAGGGCTTATAATAGGGTTTAGGGTTTAGGGTTTACGGTGCTTCTTGCTGTCTCCTCCTCCCAGCAGCGACGCGCTCGCCTCGGACATTCGAAGCGATTCGAGATCCAAGTGCATAGTTTTGATGACGACGTGCTTGGTTTTGGATTCCCGCAGTGTTGCTTGGTGCGTCCTTCCCTCAAGCCTAGCGCCCAGCTCTCACAGACTGTAGACCGGATGCTACCCTTGGGGTGACGCTTGTAAAGAAGCCTACGTTTCGCTGCACAGCTCGGGCCAAAAGGGGTCTCAGAGTTCATGGTTTAGGATTTCGGGTTTAGGGTTGAGGGGATCAGTGGCGCGGTGAGGAAGTCGGGTTTGTGACTAACAGGGCTTTGAACATTACCTTGAGCCTGGCACTCTATCTGAGGACTGGCTTATCATCGTCATTTCTGGAGACTGGCGTAGAAGTTTGTCCTTAGGATATGGTGGCGCAGGAAGGTATTGCATGTAGGGCCTAAAAGCCTGGGATACTCGTAGTTTCCATCTTATTGAACGGAGTTACGATCCAGATCCCTTGTCCGCCGGATCAACACACAAGAAGGGTACACTGTTCTCGCCTTGGTTTTCTCTGTCAGCAGTTGTGGCACAGTAATTAGATATTCAACTAAATATGAGTTTCATTTTCGTTATAAATTAGTTATATATTAATTGTTCAACTAAATATGAATTTCATTTTCGTTATAAATTAGTTACATATTAATTGAACCTTAGACCCTCTACTTGGGGAGCATGGAGGGCACGGCTACGTCGGGGATGTGAGATTTTAGGGTGTCCAAGCCTTCCAAGCCCCACGGCGGAGATTTCTGAAACTGGACGTCAACCCTAAATCCCCAAACCCTAAACCCGTATCCGCAAATCCCCTCAATAACCCCCTAATTAAACCCTAAACCCTAAACCCCGAAACCCCTAAACCCCTAAACCCCTAAACCCCTAAACCCCTAAACCCCTAAACCCCTAAACCCCTAAACCCCTAAACCCCTAACCCCCTAAACCCCTAAACCCCTAAACCCCTAACCCCCTAAACCCCTAAACCCCTAAACCCCTAAACCCCTAAACCCCTAAACCCCTAAACCCCTAAACCCTAAACCCCTAAACCCTAAACCCTAAACCCCTATGCCCTATTTGAACCTTGAGCTCTACGCATACCCGAAGCTCTCCAGCTGATGGATCTCACAGCGCCGCACCCGACCCTAGATGTCCCAGACTCGACCATCAGATTTAAAGCCTTTTACATTTGCCATAATGCAACCAATATACCAAAATGCAAAATTTTCCATACATAGTTTCAGCCAAGTTCTATCGCAATTATTGTTTTAAGCAATATATCTTTTTGCCCAACCATCTACGAATTCCATTAAATTATCATCCAAATCACTAAGACTTCATAGATTGTATATCGGACTTTGAGTTTAAAAAAGCCGTGAAACCACCGTGATTCGACGGAAAAAAACCGTCCGTTCGAACAAAACCATCGGTCCACCGTGGTTCATCGGTGGTTGATTTTGATAACGGTATTAGCATTTCACTCATCACGAAAAATAATTAAAAAACCAACTTCCGTCAAACAAAACAATGTGTGGGTTTAGGGTTTAGGGTTTAGGGTTTATAAGCCCTAAACCCTTAACCCTACACCCTACAAACCCTGAGCCCTCAACTGCCTCACCCCAAAGCTTTCCTTGGGCAGCCTCCTCCCGCAGGCAAGAGCTGTGCTGGTCACGGAACCCAGGGGGTGTTAGGATTTAGGGTTTAGGGTTTAGGATTTAGGGTTTAGGATTTAGGGTTTAGGGTTTAGGGTTAGGGTTTAGGGTTTAGGGTGTTTTGGCTTAAGGGGGGGGGGGGGGGTTTAACATCCTGAAGCCTCCCTCGCACCGTGCTCAAGAAGACGGCAGGTACTGGGTAGGCACATTTTTGTTTGCATATGTAGGGTTTAGGGTTTAGGGTTTAGGGTTTAGGGTTTAGGGTTTAGCACATATCTATATACCTATGCTTTCCTGCATTGGACCTAAGAAGATCTTGTTGGGGAAGGTGTTTTGCAGAGTGTTTCTACATCACATTGCCCTAAAGACATCCCGGGAATGTTTGTACAAGCATCGCCGTACAGGCCCAAACTGTCCACCCAAACCCCGACCCCCTCAACCCCCGAAACCCGACCCCCAGCCCCCGCCCTCCGTTTCAATCTCCCACTACGCACTCAACCCTGAACCCTAAACCTAAACCCTAAACCCTAAACCCTAAACCCTAAACCCCTAAACCTTGAAGCTCCCCCCCAATCTCGGCGACCCCAAGTCCACAAAAGCTAAGGCCTGACCGAACCAAGCCCTAAAACCTCAAACCCGCCGAAGTCCCTGGGACCAAACCCTCAACCCCTCAACTTTGAACCCACACTCTGAACCTTTGTCATGGTTGTGTACCATTTTGCATGTGTAAGGGTACTTAAACCCTATAAGCAATAACATTTCAAATTTTTAACATTCTCCCAACCATGAACTAGGAACCACCCCAAACCCCAAAGCCCGATATCTGAAACCCCACACCCTAGACCCT